CAATAAAATACACTCTTTATCCCTTTCTCAACCACTCTCTGTTGAGTTGCACTTGAGAATCTGCTCCCCAACTTCATCAGGTGACTTTGAGACCCTGAGGTCTTGCCGGTTAAATGGGGATAATTTAAGTGCACATATCACCAGGTGGTTGTGGTAATTTAACTACCCAATATCTATGTATGCATTTTTACATGTAAATCATTACAAAAATGCAAGCACTCGAGCTGCTGTCAAGTCTTCCTTATCTCAGAAGGTTTTGTTTATAACCCGTCTCTCTTAGAACTCAGGGAATTACATTCCAGTCTCTTTTCCAGAATCCCACTGATCATTTTTGTTGGGAAAAGCACTCTTTTCCTGCTGCCCTAACTTGTTGAGAGGATGGCTCCTGCGAATGTTAAATGGCTGCCCTGCAGCAAATCCCATCAACAAATATTTACTAGCTGCGGAGCTCGGCCTTGTAGAAGATGTGAAAAAACCGGAGGTTCCCTCTGCACTGAAAGAGCACACCACCCAGCTGCACAGCAGCACCCATATATCCTGGAAGAGGCAAGATCTGCCTGTGCTCCCTGGATGCCCTCAATACACCTGGGGCTTTACTTCAAACACAAGAAGCAGCTGGTGTCCGTGATTTAAGGCTCAGTACAAATAATAGACAGAATTTATTTCCAAGCTGCCTGGTTTGGCAGAATTCCAGAATTCATCAAACAGAAAGATAAGGCTGATAATGTTGAAAAGGATTCTACACACAGGCATATCTCAGAGATTCTGTGGTTTCATTTCCAGACCACCACAATAAAGCAAATATCGCACTAAAGCGAGCCACGTGATGTTTCTGGTTTCCCAGTGCATGTAAAAGTTATCTTTCCGCTATGCTACAGTCTTTTAAGTGTGCAATAGCATTATGAACAAGTCTGAAATATTGCGAGAATGACCAAAAGGTGACACAGAGACATGAAGTGAGCACATGCTGTTGGAAAAAATGGTGCCAATAGACTTGCTTGATGCAGGATTGCAACAAAACTTCATTTTGTGAAAAAAAAAAAAAAACACAGTATCTGCAAAGCACAATGAATCAAGGGATGCCTATGGTTGGTCTTTCTATAGTAATCTGCTAGGGTGTTCCAGATCTAGAACACACTCCCAACTTTACCCAAAACATATTTACAGCAGGGCCAGCCCATCACCTGAGAAAAACAGGGTTGACCCCCAAACACTTGTCACGGTGGTATTTGGTCTCAGGCTGGACCTGGGAAGATTTCAGGTAATGGTGGTGGTGGTGTCAGCTGTCATCAAATCAGGTCCGTACTCACAGTGACCACAGGCACAACGGAAGGAAATGCTGTCCGTTCCTGCACACCATCCCCAGCATCAGTTGCAGACAGGACTTTGAATTAACCCAGTCAAAGGGCATCAATGTCTGTTCAGCATGGAAAAGCCCCCAGAGAGAGAACTCTAACATTTCCAATATTAAATAATGCTAATACTAGGGATTTGTAGCATAGCCTAAGGCACTTGACTGCTAACCAGAAGGCTGGCCGTTCAAACCCACCAGCCACTGCTTGAAAGGAAGGTTGGGCAACAACAACAACAACAAATATGACTAAATACTACTAAAAAGGACAACTTCCAGGTCATACTTTTCTGGGAATTGTTGAGAATTTTGACATTAAGTTTCATTAAAAGCCTAAAGCAAATAAGGCTCACACTTTTGAAAAATGCCAATGACCTGACTCATGAATGAATTTCCACTCCTCAGTGAGAAGAATTCTAGCTGACACATATGTTCCTGTAAAAATTACAGTTCTATCCCAATTTGTATGTCCTCCTTAAAAGTATGTACGTATATGGTTTTTAGTTGTTAAGAACTTTATAGTAAGGGGATCACAGTAAATTTTGTTTTGACTGTTGGATGATATTTTAGTGGAGCTCCTGGTTGATGCAGACAATTAAAGTGCTTGCCACTAACCGAAAGGCTAGAGGTTTGATTCCACCCAGAGGTACCTGGGAAGAAAGGTCTGGTGATCTAGTTCCCCAAAGTCAGCCATTGACAACCTGTGGAGCATAGTTCTACTCTGACATGCTGGGGTTGCCAGGAGTTGGAATCAATTCAGTGACGACTTTTCTTTTTTAATAATATATTTTAAAATACACCACACTTGCTTCACCTATCCTTCCTCTGATGGACTTCTGAGCTGTTTTCGGCTTTAGGGATTATTGAGAGCAGCGCTGCTGGGACCATTCTTGTATGTCTCCCATTGTATATGTGCCACAGCTGCTCAGGTGTACGGCTGGGATGGAAGAGCTGGGTCGTTAAGGTGTGAGCTTCAGAAATTGATACCAAACTCTTTCCAAAATGGTTTTACTAATTCACACCCCCACCAGTAATGGAGAAGAGGTCCCGTCATCCACATCCTCTCCTACTGTTTAATTTTTGTAAATCAAATGAGATGAAAATGACATCTCATTGTGGCCTTGATTTGTACTTCCTGGACCGCGATCACCTCTCCATCCGTTTATCAGATATGCCCGTTTCCCCTTATGTGGAAAGCCTTTTACCTGTTTCCCCTTTTGTGGAAAGCCCTTCATGTCTTTGGCCCATTTTTCTACTACGTTGTTTGTGCTTTTCTTACTGACCTGTAGGAATTCTTGATCCACCTTTTGTCTGTCATGAGTATGCCAAATGCTGTGAATAACTTCTCCTAGTGCCTAAGGCACTTGACTGCTAACCAGAAGGCTGGTGGTTCAAACCCACCGGCCACTCCTCGGAAGGAAGGTTGGGCAATCCTACTTCTGTAGTGATATTGCCTCGGAAACCCAAGGAGGGGTTGACTACGAGTCGGGTCCGACTCGACGGCACACAACAACAAGTGTATAACTTGTTTCCTTGCTTTTAATGCACAAATGTTCTTCATTTTATTATTGGCATAGGTATTTCTTTTTATGGCTTTCTTAGGCCTTATTTCTGAAATCTTTTCCTGAAGGAATTTAAAAGGCAAGCTCAGTCTGAGGGGATGACAAATGGAGCCGGGTTGAGTCACAGAGGCCAGCAGGCCCATGCCTCCCGAGGCCTTGTCCGGTCCTGGGCAGCTCTAACCAGCCAGCACAAGGGACAGCCAGCTGCTGGCCGGTGTGTTCTGGTTGTGGAACTGGGTACCTCATGCTATTAGAGCTGGGTGCCATTAAAAATTCTAATCAAAGACTGTAATTAACTTTCCTTGCTCTGCCGCCCCGATTGCTAAGCAACCTTCTGATTATAATTTGGCTTCCCATGTATCTTACCTACAGGGAGAGAATGTACTATCCGGGCCGACGTGAGGCTCCAATCCACTAAACACTTACATGTCATGGTGTAAATTAATAAATTTGTATTCTGATTTTATCATCTGTTCATCTGAGCTCTGTAGGCGTGAGTCAGCATCCCCGAGTCTAATCAGCACGGACAACGAGAATATCAAGCTTGTGAGCTGAGACACCAAGAGCTAGACCCAGGATGAGAGCAAAATCACCAGGGTAACACTGTCCCCAAGGCCCCCCGCCCCATGGAGAAGGCCTCTCCACCTGTCATGCCACAGGGACAGGGATTAGCATTGACTTCTGACATGACAAAGAGCTGCAGATTCAAAAGCGTGGCTCAGTTCTACTCAGGTGAAGGTGCAGAACAGGAGATGATCACAACATTCATATTGAATATTATTTATTGGTTTCTGAGCACACACCAGATGCTGTACAAATCCTAGGCAGAAGGTTTAGATCTGCACACAGGTGAAGAAAAACAAAAACAACCCAAAAGATGGAAGGTGCATGTGAGGAGAGACAGAGTAAGAGCAATCTACTGGTGAATTCCTACCCCACTTAGGAGCTCATAGTCCAGGATGCAAATAACAATAATTTAAAAAATAATAATAATACATAGGAGAGGGAAGCCCAGAGAATGCTGAAGCATGGAGAGCAATGTGGCCAGACATGAGCCTCTCCAGCTGGAGGAGGGACTTAGGGCCTGCAGGATGAGGACAGGCTCTTTGAAGTGAGTTCAAAGGGCAAAGTGGAGATGAGCCCTTAGGGCCAGCAGAGAGAATTTAGCATTCTGTCATTTAGATCACCAGTTCACTCGGAATTTCTGGGTGACCAGACCCAGAATGACATGGATCCCCTTCTGGATCCCAGTTACACTGAACTAAAGGGAGGGGAGTGATAAGAACTATAACTAACTAAAACTAACCATTATTGAGTCAGTTCCAACTCATAGCAACCCTATAGGGCAGAGTAGAACTGCCCCATAGGGTTTCTAAGGCTGTAATCTTTATGGAAGAAGACTGCCACATCTTTTACCCACAGAGTAGCTAGTGGGTTTGAATCACTAACCTTTTTTTTAGCAGCCTAATGCTTAACCATTGTTACACTAGGGCTCCTGATAAGAACTATGGTATCTGGGAACCTTTGGCCCAGTGATAGGTGGTGATCTTTCACTTTGTATTCAGCTCCTTCTCCCTTGCAAAAACAGAAGGCCTATATTGACAAAACTAAAGGATTTGTTGCTTAAAGAAAAATACATTCAAGAAGGAGAAAGACAAATTTAAGGAAGCTCTGCATCATCCTTGAGACTTTGATCTAAAAGGCAAGCATTGTGTCCCTTGGGCTTCCCTTGGGCCCCCACCTGACCCAGGTCACAGGTTTGCATGGATGTGGAAGAGGCTAGGGAACCATCTCAGATGTTCTTTGTTCTAAAAATGAGGTAGAGGTGTACCACCCAGTAAAGGATGACCCAAAGTGTGGCCTGCTCAAGCAGCCATGTGGAAAGAGAGCCATACGAAAGGTTCAGCCACATAGCAGGACAAGAATACAGCAGGGAGGCAGCCTCACAGATGCACCAGCAGAGCGCACCAGCTCCAGGGAGGGGGCTGCAGAGGGGCTGTCGGGCTCTTTCAAAGCCCGAGGGAGCCACACGAGGAGGAATGGACCCCCATAATAGAGGCCACCACGTGTGTGAGTGGGGGCCTGGTCTAGTAGAGGTGGTCCCGCACATGCTTCATGATAGTCTTCAGGCCCAGCCATGTCTCCTCTGCGGTGGGGATGATCTGGTTGGCTGGCAACAGGAAACCATAGTGCCCAGTATCTCTCAGCTCAAACGTGAAAGCATACTTGATGCCATTATCATATGCCCAGTCGATGCTGCTCCCGCTAGCTGGGTCTGTAAATCGAAAGAGAAAACACCTTTGAAGCCCAGTTCCCTTCAGAGTTAGGTGGCAAGGGGCCAAAAGTTCTGCCTACTGCAGGTTCCTTAGGGATGCAGAGTTCTTGCTACAGGTCATCAAACCTATTCCACATAAACTTGAGCTTGAGCCACAGTCTCAGGCTGTCCTGCACCGCGAAGTCTTCACAAGTCTCCAAACAAGAGACTTCATTCCCATCTTGTCAGTAACTCACTGTAGAGACTCCTGCAGGTCACTGAAAACCAGCATTTACAGAGACAGAGTGTGGCAGGCTGCTTCCAAAATGGCCCCAGTGATCTTTGCTTCCCAGTATTACACCCTAGTGCAATCCTCTCCTACACAGAGTAGGGCTGACCTGACCTGTATAACTACCAGGATATTGCAGAAATTAAGGTGTGTTACTTCCAAGACTAGGTTACAAAACATACTGCAGCTTCCGCCTTGCTCTCTCTTGCATCACTCGCTGTGGGGGAAGCCAGCTGTCATGTAAGGCCGCTCAAGCAGTCCTATGAAGAGTGCACGTGGTGAAGAACTGAGGCCTCCTGCCAACAACCAGCACTGATGCTGTAAGCAGCTGAATGAGCCACCTTGGAAGCAGAGCCTCCAGCCCCAGTCAAGCCTTTGGTTGACTGCAACTCTGGGAGACATCTTGACTACAACTTCGTGAGAGGCCCTGAGCCACAGCCACCCACTCAGATGCTCCTGAATTTCTGACCCACAGAAACAATATGAGGGAATGAATGTTTGTTGTTTGAACCACTAAGTTTGGGGGTAATTTTTTTTTTTTTTTTTTTGCTTAAATTTCCCTTTTTTCTCATGGTTAGCCCCATTCCTTGTTTTTGGGGTTTTTTTTTTTTTTTTTTTTTAATGCAGTAATAGATGACTGACACACAGAGAAAAGGAAGCACAGCCCTTGGTATTTCCTTGGGCCAAAAGCCCTGGGGATGACAAGAGCCCTGTTTTTCTGCTTCTCCCCGGTCAACCTCTGTTGTTGTTGGGTGCCTTTGAGTCAATGCCACAACCCCATGTGACAAAGTAGGACTGCTCCATGAGGTCTGCTTGGCATTATCTTTATAAAAGCCCATCACCAGCTGTTTCTCCTGAAGAGACACTGGGTGGATTCAAACTGTCAGACTTTCAGTTAGCAGCTGGTGCTTAACCATTGTGCCACCAGGGCTTCCGTCAAACTTGACGACAGCAGAAACTGGCTAAAAATGCAAAGTGTAGCTGATACAGAATGGCATAATAATGATGCCAATACCAACTACCATTTATTGAGCATCTATCATAAGCCAGTCATTACACTAGAAACTTTACATTTACGGTCTCAATCTTTGAAAACCAAATGAGGTAGGTATTATTGTCCTTGTTTTATGGATGAGGTAGTCCAGGCTCAGAATGGGTGATTTACCAAAGGAAACACAGATGGTAAATGGCAGAGCTAGAATTTAAACCTAGGTCCATCTGATGAGAAAAGCCCACGCTCCCTTCAGCCTACTCTAGAGCCTTTGGTATATCACATGCCTGTTCCACGAAAGTAGGGGTCTCTTTATTTAGCCTTGATGGTGCAGTGGTTAGGCACTGGGCTGATAACCAAAAGGTCTGCGCTTGGAACCCACCAGGTGCTCCAAGGGAGAAAGATGTGACAGTCTGCTTCCATAAAGATTTGCAACACTGGAAACACTATGGGGCAATTCTATTGTTTTATAGGGTTGCTATGAGTCAGAATTGACTTGACTGAAACATATTTGCTTTTCCATTGTCCCTAAGGGTCATTTCTTATGAAACCATCGTGTTTTTTTCTATAGATGTTGCTTCTACTGAGGTTACGTGCACCCTGATGGGTGGAATAGGCTCTCCTACACTCTGCAATCCCTGTGTGACCCTGAGGCCCCATAGCCTTTCTCTATCCTGAGATAAAGCTGAATAAACAACATGTAATGGCACCAGAAGTTTCTAGGGGTTATTTACATGGCAAGCTCAAGTATTTCAGAACACACCAAGATTCAGGCAAGGGACTGAGCAGTCAAAGCAATGGAGTTGATGAACTTCACTTTACTTGGGCCCCTGCTCAAAGCCTACATCTTCTTTCTAGGAACCTACTATAAACACAGCTCTGGATGCTGCATTTCTCAATTAACAATTGCAGAGTACTCCCTATTAACACAGAATGTTCCATTGTATGAATGTGTCAAATCTATTTACCCAGCACTCTACTGATGGGCATTTAGATGCTTACCAGTCTTGGCTACTCTAAACAATGCTACCATGAACACCTTTACTATTCACGATTTGTCCACCAGTCAAACAAACTCAAAGAACTTTGTTTCCAAGCCCTTCGTAGACCCAAATCAGTGAAGAAGAAGAAAAGGTATTGCTAGAGGTAGTCTCATATACATACAAACAAAATGAAAAGCGTGGACAATGAATAAGGAAGACAAAAGGAAAATTGATGCATTAGAATTGTGGTGTTGGTGACGAACACTGAAAATACCATGGACAGCCAGAAGAACAAATAAATCTGTCCTGGAAGAAGTGCAGCTGGAATGTTTCTTAGAATGGAGAATGGCCAGACTTCATCTCACCTACTTTGGTCATGTTGTCAGAAAGGACCAGTCCCTGGCGAAGGATATCATGCTTGGTAAAGTAGAGGGTCAGCAAAAAAGGGGAAGACCCTTGACAAGATGGATTGACACAGCGGCTGCAACAATGGGCTCAAGCATAGCAGGGATTGTCAGGATGATGCAGGACCAGGCAGTGTTTCGTTCTGTTGTACATATGGTTGCTATGAGTTGGAGCCAACTCAATGGCACCAAACAACAACAGAGATGGTTGGCTTGAAAGTAGTTTGAGATTGATAGGAGGAAGGGAATGTGAAAACTCTCAAAAGAAGACCCAAGACTTTAAGAATCAAATGAGGCTGGGGCTATTAGCATGGGGATGGAACAGTCCTATAGGGTACAATAGGCCTTCAGGATACAACAATGGTCAGAAGACTGCTCAGTCATGAAGAAAGGGGCTCAGGTCTCTTCTACATGCTCTGTTTAAGAAGGCAGGAAAATGGGGAACCCACATTAGAATTATTTCCATCTAAAATGGCTAATATACGGAAAGTGCCAGCCCTTGAAGGGAAAAGCATCAACTACTTACTTAACGCATGCCATGACACAGAGGGTTAGAGAGAGTTTTGTTCTACAAACATTGACTTTTTGGAAAGCAAGGAGGGCAGACAGAGTCTATAAAGAATACAAGATGGGTTTTTGAAAGAGGTAAGGGCTTTTATGGCTCCTGGGACAACCCTCATGAGAGCCTGCCTCCTCTTGTTGGTGGAACCTGATGAGTATCTCTGAGTTTTGGCATAGCCTATGCTGGGGAGAAGAATGCATTTGATATGGGAGGACAAGGCCATTATTTAAACTGGTGTTTGGCCCAAAAGCCAGGACAATGTTGATGCACAAAGATCTTTCCAGAAGACCTCCTCAGAAGACTTGTACCACACTTCACACTCTAGTCCCTGACTCAGTTCTGATGAAGTAGAGAGTGGAGAAACTCCCCTGATGTTTGAGAGCTCCATTTAACAACAACAACAATAATAAATCATGAATAATTAGTGGTTGTTGCTGCAATTAGCAACACAAACATCAACATCATACTAATGGGTTCATGCAGCCTGGTGGCAAAGGACACAGGTAAGGGTGTGGAGGTCAGAGTAGAGAGGAGGGCTGAGTGGGATGCAGTCCTGAAGGGAACAACTAACGATGAGAAGCAAGTAGATGGGCAAGTGAGTTACAGAATTGAAGAGGAAATAAATGGTGGCAAGTTAGCAGGGGCTCTGAGGGTGAACCTGTTAAAAGACAGTTGGAGGAAAAGGCTGAAGAAGGATAAATAAGGGGATTAGCTTGAAAAAGGAGGTGGTTCATTGGTGGAATTCTTGCCCTCCATGTCAGAGACCTGAGTTCAATTCCTGGACAGTGCACCTCATGGGCAGCCACAAACTGTCTGTCAATGAAGGCTTGCATGTTGCTATGATATGGAACACATTTCAGTGGAGCTTCCAGATTAAGATGGACCAGGAAGAAAGGCCTGGCACCTCCTTCTGAAAATCAGCTGATAAACACCTTATGGATCAGGGACTTCCAGTAAGATAGAGGAACAGGCAGACAAGCGACACAGACCCTCTTCAACAAAGAAAAGAAAAACCAATTGAAAGAGATACAAAAGATAATCCTGGAGCCTTGAGAATCGACCTAAAGATCAGCCCTAGTCACCAAGGGCTGCAGGGATGACTGCACTGGTGGCCTATGACTAGGAAGGGAAACAGCAAGGTGGGAGACTACTGAGCTGTTGACTTTCCACTGTCTGGAGGGCGCAGCCATTTTGATTGTTACACCTGGTGGCCATTTTGGATATTTAAAGTGACCAAGGGTGCAGCCATTTTGAATCTTTACAAGTGGCAACCATTTTGGATTTTAAAGTGATAGCATTCTCATTTGGGTTCCAAGGACCTAAGAATAGGCTCTGTTTGCCAAGGTCGGCAGGGACATACCAGAGGCTGACAACAGGAAAGGAGACAGGTGATGAATGTATATAAGTGCTGCCCACTAGCAAATACAGTACAGTACCTTGTTTGCATAGATAACATACAAACAAAATGAAAAGTGTGGACAAGTTCCTCCAACATACAATCACCAACTAAACATAAACACAAAAACATCACAATGCCTCGGAAACAACAGAGCATCACAGTCCACACAAAGAAGCAACATAAAGCAGGAGAAACAAGGGACCAGGATACAGACCCAAAACACATATCTCTGAGGAAGACGCAGCACAGGAACTCCCTGATAAGGAATTCAAAAGAATTATATTTAGGTATCTTCAATGAATTGGGAGACAGACCAAGGAAAACACAGAGAAAACCCCAGAACAATTTCAAAAGACAATACAAGAACAAAATGACAAAATAAATGAAAAATTAGAAATGATACAAAATCTTCACACAGAAATCCAGAAGATTAATACTAAATTTTCAGAAATATGTAAGACATTGAATGGGCAAAGGAGCAGAATTGAATCAATGGAAGACAAAACTAGGGAGATTGAAGGCAAATACCTGAACACTTCTTTGGAAAGGGATCAATCAGAAAAAAGAGCAAAACAAAATGAAGAAAGCCTAAGGTTTATGTGGGATACCATCAAAAGGAATAACCTACGTGTAATCAGAATTCCAGAACAGGAAGAGACAAATAAAACAACAGAGAAAATTGTCAAAGATTTGTTGCAAGAGAATTTTCCTGGTATTATGAAAGATGAGAATATATCCATTCAGGAAGTCCAACGAACCCCAAACAGGATAAACTCCAAAAGAAAATCACCCAGACATATCATCATCAAACTTACCAAAACCAAAGACAAAGAAAGAATCATGAGAGCAGCACAGGAAAAGCAAAAAGTTACCTACAAGGGGCAACCAATAAGACTGAGCTTGGATTTCTCAAGAGAAACCATGCAGGCAAGAAGATAATGGGATGGTATATATAAAACACTGAAAGAGAAAAATTTCCAACCAAGAATTATGTACCCAGCAAAATTGTCCCTCAAATATGATGGTGAAATTAGGACATTTCCAGATAAGCAGAAATTAAGGGAATTTGTTAAAACCAGGCCAACCTTACAAGAGATGCTAAAGGGAGCCCTTTGGTCAGAGAAGCAACAACAGCCAACAACAACTGACCATTAATGTACATGATGACATAACCCAGAAACCAACCCAGCTATGGAAGTATCCAAAGTAAATAAGTCTATAAGCTTGTAAACAGGGAACCAGAGACATCAATTGACAAATGAGGACAACTACAAACCCAAAAGAGGGGAAAAACTGTGTCATTACAGAACTTCCAGATGGTAGACAAGTCAAGACAACTACAAGATAGGATAGACTGTTCTAAACTTGTGAAGAAAACTATAAATCACAGGGTAACCTCAAAGAAAAATGATAAACCTTCACATCAAAAAAGAGGACCAGCATAAATATTCAGCAAATACTAAAACAATAGCAATGAAGGAAGTGATAACACAATTCAGAAACAAAATTAACTCAGCATAGAAAATTATATGGAACAAAGAAATTGACACCACAAGAAAGCACATAACAAAAATGACAGCAAGAAATTCCTATTTGCCAATAATTACATATCTGGCAAGGGACTTATCTCTAAGATTTATAGTGGAAGAGTGGATGACCAAACTATGGTACATACACATAATGGAATGCTATGCAGTACTTAAGAATAATGTACAGTATGCAAAAATCACTTAATATGGATGAACCTGGAGGACGTTATGCTGAATGAAATAAGTCAATCACAGAAGGACAAATACAGTATTAGTTCATTGTTGTGGAGGGTCAAGGAAAGGTTTATATATGGAGGGAAACTTTCTTTGTCGGTTGCCAGGGATGGGAGGGGAGGGAAGGGAACACTGCAAAAAAAAAAAAAAAAAAAAATGCCCTGACCCATATCACTTTAGTTTTGTATATTTCACTGTACATAAATTATATTTTAATAAAATGCTTTAAAAAAAACCTTATGGATCACAGTAATCTGATCCCACTGTGCGTGGGGTCCCCATGACTCAGGGGTCAACCAACTCCACAGCAGCTAACAACTACAACAGCTAGAAAGGGCTCAGAGCTGTGCTTCCTGTGAGTGTATTTATAGTCTCATATACAGCTGGGGTCATGGAGAATAGTCCTAATTTTTCCCAAAGGGAACATTTTAAGAAAGACTCACAAGAAGAGACCTGAAAGAATGAATAAAACCAAAGATGCATGGAAACAATCCAAGGGACTAGTGAACTATGCAAACCTCAGCTTATATGACCATGAGACCAGAAGAACTAGATGGTGCCCGGCGACCACTGTCAACCACTCAGAAAGGGATCAGTGCAGGAGATCCTGGATACAGTGGGAGAACAATGTGAATAAAACACAAAATCATTTTTTAAAAAAAAGGGCCAGTTCACTGGTCTGATGATTTCCAAGCAAACAATAGGCATATAGGGTGAACATTCACACTAGGTAGATACTCTCCTTAGAACGATCACAGAAGGGCAGTATTTGCACAGGGAGATAGCTCAGGGGGCAGGAATGCATGGGAAAGAGTCGCCAGGAGTTGGAAAGATGTGGGAAGAGAGCTGTTACATTGTGGGGATTGCAGTCAATGTCATGAAACAAAATGTGTATGAACTGCTGTATGGAAAATGAATTTGCTCTGTAAACTTTCACCCAAATCACAATAAAAATTAAAAAAAGAAGAAGAAGAAGAGAAGCAGGAGACCTGGAAGAATCCCAGCACCAACAAAGTGATTTGCTCAAATGAAACATCTCAGTGAGAAACCAAAACAAAAGGACCCTCCTCAGAGTGAGGCTGTGGTCATGAGCCTCAAGCCCAGGCTCAACTTTGGGGACTTGGTAGATTTTGGGGGGTTCTTTTGGCTTGATGCTAACCAAAGTTGGAGGCCCTAGCCCAGCTCTCTATGCTCCAACGTCTGTTCATTTCTGATAAGAGATGAGAGCAGCTCCCCTGCCCCTCTAGCATTTCCACCCCCAATCCCTCTGCCAATCCAAAGCTGGGTTTCCTTTGAAAATGGAATGGGCTTGAGGAAGTTTGGGTAAAGTATGCCAGGACCTTCAATGGCAGGTAAAGAATGCAGACCGTACCACACAGAAGGACCGAACTCCTCACAGACGTGAGATACACAGAGTAACAGTGGTGATGATGGTGACGAAGACCCCACAACAGCCACTGAAACTCGGGCTTGACATAAATGCCATCTACTGCTAACAACAAAAACAATCAGACCACAGCCCAGGAAGCCCAGCTGACAGCTCTCTCCCCACTCCACATCCAGTCCCCTCTCCAGAATTTTTGACGTAACTGGTAAGGACAGCAAGTACTTACAGACAGTGGTGCAGGTGGGACCCACTTGGTACTCAGTGCCCGACAGGGAAGCCAGAGCTTTGGCCGCACGCCTTGCCACCTTGTCCTGGGAGGGGAATCAGCAGAGTGAGAGAGGATGGATCCCACCAGCCTGACATTCCTCCACTGTTCCTCACTGTGATGATCTGGAAGTTTCTCCATACCTCCCCTGATTTTCCCTTCTGGTCACTTCTTCTTTCCCATCCAATTAGAGCTCAGGCCTGACTATAAAGTGTGGGACATGGGCTGGTTCCTCCAACACCTTCTCCCACCACACCCCCGGCTCTTCACTTGCAGTTTGTGGGAACTGGTGTGAGGGGGAGGTAAGAAGAGAGACAGGATGGCGGGTAAGCACTCTGCAAGCGTGAGTACTGTATCACATACTCAGATGGGAAGAGTTGTGTTCAAGTTCTCCAAAGATCTGGAGGGCTGCCACCCAACCCATTAGGAATATTGTAAAGACACCATCACCTCCACCTGCCCATGGACATGAGGGAAGGTCAAGTGCATTCAAGAGAAAGCCACCTAAGAGGTAGATGCTCCAGAGTGAAGGGGGAGGCAGGGTCACACCACATGAAGTGCCCTGCCCAGGTACCCACCTAGAAGGACCAGTGGGGGCCAAAATCAAGTCCACACTTAGCCATGAGCCCTGAGGAGGTACATCTGTCCAGAGGGTCCTGGGCCTATGGGAACCCTGAGCAGAGCGGTACACTCAAGCTGACTGGCACAGAGGCAAGGGCTGTAGTTTCCCTACAGATACAAGCCCTGCTCCACCCCAAGTGCCTCTCCACTTCCTGGGACACATCAATGTACATGACACAGACTACAATCCTTACATTCCTCCTCACCAGGAACGAGGAACATCTCCCCCATCCACCACACTGCCCACCACAGTTCTTGCCAAGCACTGGGCCTTTGATGTTTCAGTCAGAGAAACAAGGGAGAAGGAAAGGCAGGTGGGCAGGTGTGGCTTGTGGAACTCACAGCACCCACAGAAATGAGGACCATCATCTTCCTGTTCCCAGTTGGCCTGATGGCACTTCCCAAAGGGCAAGGGGAGAAGAACCAAAAGCAGCTGCCACTAACACAGAGTCAGTCCCAACTCCTGGCGACCCACGTGGGTCAGAGCAGAACTGGGCTGCAGAGGGTTCTCAACGGCTGACTTTTCGGAAGTAGATCACCAGGCCTGTCTTCCAAGTACCCCTGGGTGGACTCAAACCTCCAATCTTTCAGTTAGCAGCTTAGTGCTTACCTGCACAGCAAGGGGTAGAAGACCCTTAAAGCTCCAAGCACAGGCTCCTGACTTTCTCTCTACATATGTAGAATGACCCCTGTGGCAGCCCCTGCAGGGTAAAGTAGGCAGGGATGGGCAGAAGGCAGCCACTCACCAGCTCATCAGCATCTGGGGCCTTGCGGACCATGTACCCATAAGGGTACATCAGCAACTGGGAGTAACTGTGCAGGTCAATGAAGCATTTGAAATTTCCATGTTCTCGAATGAAATCTACCACCGATTTCACCTCCACTTCCGAATTGGCATGGGGCCCGTGGTACACTTCAGAGCATGGGTTGTCACTGGCTCCCTTTCCTGTAGGTGACAGCCCAAGAAGAGACATTAACCCATAGGCCAAAGAAACAGAGATGTAGGACACTAAACCAAGAGGAGGTGGTCTGAAGGTAGTGGCAATGGGCAGGCCACTGTCAGACTCTCCTGAGACCCGGCCGGTGGTGTGTGTATGGGAGGCAGGGCATGGAAATGGGAGGCAGGGGTCTGGGATGCCACCGCTGGGAAGGAAAGTCACTAGGGCTCCTTAAACAGGGAGAGTTGCCCTTGTATTGTACCAGTAACAGCTGTTATGAATAATTAATACCATACTTGACAATGAGTTGTAATTAATAAGTATTCTAGCTAGTTAATATGAATACCAATTAATAATGAAAACGACTCCATTTATGCTGGTGTCAACTCATTCTCTTGGTTCAGATCCTAATGGCCAAGTGCTGCCAAAAATAATCTATTGTGGCTAAAATCTCTTGATCATTTGACAGGTATTTAGAAATATTGCTGCTGTGCTACTTTACAAGAGAGCTCCCCATGGTATCCGGTGTGCATGTGAAATCACCCCAATGGCAGGACTATCTGGCCGAACTTGGATGTCCTCACTCCCCATATCTGTATCAGCCCCCTTCCCACCATCCCAATATTCTTCCCCCAAAGGTTTTTGTGGTATTTCTAGGCAAGTGAAAGAAGTACGTTAAAAATAAAAACCAAACGTCCATGCAGCTAAAGAAGAGTGAAAGAGAGTTGCATGGGTCTGGAACTGGAAGGGGAGTTGGGCACCCAGCTCAATTCAGCCATGTGATCTTGAGATTGTCTCTGAGCCACCATCTTGTCACTTCAGATAACACAATTCACTCGCATAAAAAAGAATAAATATATGAGAAAGTCCGTGGCATTTTTGCAGGAGGTGGTCTTTAAGCAGCTGGAACTCAGAACTCAAAGCTCCTAACTTTCATTCCCTTTGCCTGACATCAGGCTGCTGAGGTTCATACTCACACATCAAAGGATAAACTGCTAGAGTTGCATCTTCATGACAAGATCAGCGGAAACTGCTCCTCTCCCACCACCAGGAGTTCTCCACTCACCCAGCAACTCACCCAGCAGAAGGTGGTATGGCCAGGAATAAAGGAGGTAAAGAAGGGCCTGCAATCTACCCATCTAAGACTACAGTGGGCTATAGAAAGTTGGGGGAGAAAAATGTTGCCATCAAGTTGACTTCAACTCATGGCAATCCCACGAGTATCAGAGTAGAACTGTGCCCCAGAGGGGCTTCAATGGCTGATTTTTCAGAAGTTAACACCAGGCCCTTCTTCCAAGGTGCCTCTGAGTGGACTCAAACCCCTAACCTCCTGGTTAGCAGCCAAGTGCATTAACCATTTGCTCGTCCCAGAAATCCATAAACAATTAGTGTAGGTTGCAGTCCCACTGCAAAGAGGCCCTGACCCGTGGTTCTCTCAGAAGGGCAGGAATTATTGAATCATTCTCTTTCAAAATTAGAAAAATGAGATCAAAAGCCAAACAGAAGACACAGAGAGTATAAGGGGTTCCCCCAAAGTCTCTCAATGAATCAGCAATGGAGCCAGACTGGAAGGTGGTCCCTTGCTAGAGCTGGGGGTCCTAGTGGACCAGGCTACTCCAGCAGCAGCAGGATTTGAAAACAGTCCCCCACCTACCTCCAAAACTGGCGTTCCAATTTCTATTTGGGTCGACACCGATGCAGCGGCTTCCAGGATTTTGGGACCGCGTCTTCCTCCAGAACCGGTTCTGAAAAATCCACGAAATACTCAGCAATAGGTCAGGGCACTGGCAGGTGGCCCAGGATGGGAATAGAACCCAGTGGGTGAGCTGCTGGGCTCCAGATGCCCAGAGAATCACTGGGCCAGTCCTCGCTAACTGAACAGTCTCCCCCCACCCCCAGAGAGAGGAGCAGTAGCCCTCTCTGGTGCTCAGAAGGAGCTCCCCACAACTCCCCGAGGAGAATTTCCAACACCAGAACCAGGCTGGCATCACCTGGACCTACTGACCAATTCCTGACTTGGGACAAACAGACACTTGCAGAGCCCCAATTTCACTCTTGCTGATAAAATCACCTGCATTGAATCTGGCCTCCAGATCTGACCTCCCATTACAGGAAATATGGGGGATAAGGGGGCAGATTAAACGGTGCAAAGCAGCCAGTGGCCAAATTCCAAATGCAAGGCACTGCGGGGCAAATCCCTTCGTTTCTCCAGTGAATGTGTGACATTTGGGACCGGCATGGGAGGGAGGGCCTTTGGCAGAAGAGGGACTTCAGGGACATAATCGAATGGAGTGTGTGGACCTTGTTTGGATCGTGTATGGAACAAACTGCCTCTTAAAGGGCAGTTTTAAGACAATTGGGGGTATTAGTGGCATTCAAGAACCTGCTTGTTTTTCAGAGCTGATGGTGGTATAGTGTCCCCTCCCCCCTGTTTTTTAATCATCCAGTAGAGATGCATACCAAAGTATTTTGGGGTGAGATAACATGATGTTTGGGATCTGCTTTAAAATACTTCACGAAAAAAAAAATGTGGGTGGGTGAGAAATAGATGGAAAGAAGACTGTGGGAATGTGGATGATCATTCAAGGTCAGTGATGGGGCTCATTGGGCTATACTCTCACTAAGGAAAGAAAGGTTCCCAGTGGTTCTCACCCAAGAGACTGACAGGCAAATGACGTGCCTAGGAAGCTCATGACGAGCTCATCTGTGGAACTATCCTCTGAATCACACAGCTGCTTAAAGCCAGGAGTTCACTCCATGCCCAGCCCGTTAGGTATGACTCACTTTGGTTTGCGTGTACACATATCCATCGGGATTGGCCACAGGCAACAAGAAAATGTCCATTTTCTCCAAGATGGAGGTGACGGCTGGGTCCTTCTGGTAGTCAGATGCAATCTAAGCACACACGACAAAGTGCTTGTCAGCTGTGCCTGTCTGTGCGCCTCCCCAGAGGCCCACCTCTGAGAACACCAGCCACCCTGGGAGCCTCCCTGCCTGCCCATGGCTCTCTGTCAAGGTCTCTGAGCCATCAGTCCCTACATGCATCATGACTGCTCTAGTGCCATATACCAGAGTCAGTCCTGGGGCCCAGGCTAGTCATCCATTCTGGGGGGAGGGGAGCAGGAGAGTGGGGATGCCACAGATCATCATAAACCCGTTGCCACTGAGTTGATTGCAACTCATGGTGACCCCATGTGTTTCAAGAGTAGAGCTGATACCCAGGGTTTTCTTGGCTGTAATCTTTATGGAAGTAGATGACCAGGCTTTTTTTCCACAGTGCCTCTGGATGGGTTCACACTGTCAATCTCCCAGGTAGTAGCTGAGCACAAACTGTGCACTACCCAGAGACCTTTAGGTATTTGTTTCCCCATCAAACAGGGAGGAGAGATGGGCCCTCCTCTCCCAGAGCTGGCTTATAACTGGCTTTGCAGAGAGGAATAGAGGCAGCAGGAGGTCCCCAAAGGCCGGTGGGGTTGGATGGGTAAGAAGGCCAAGCTCAGCTGAGTTTGCTGCTACAGAAGGGCTACTCCCTTTCTGCGAGGCCAGCTCCACAGAGTCCCTGGTCCACCTCTGCAGCTCATTAGATGTCACCACCGTGGGTGCACCTGGTCATTTGGTTGTGGAGGTATTCCAGGCCCACCAGAACTCCCGGCTAATCCCAAGCAACATGACCTTCCTCGCTGTCCAGATGCCTGTGGCCTGAGAGATCCATTCACGGGAATGGATGCCCGCATTCAGCCAGATGGCTGGCCGCCGTTCACCTGCTCCAGTGCTGAACTGCAGGAGAGAAAGAAAGAGGCCAGAAGTGACAGGCAGGCCACAGCTCCACTCCCCTCCCCTTCCCTCCCCATCGTGCTCCTATTCGTTTAATCCATTTAAGATCATTCAGAGACCAAATGTGTCAGAGGGCACCATCTATTTATCGACTTCTTGTGACCAGGGAGCTCAGCTGTTTGGCTGGTGGGCCCGAGCTGCAGTTCTGGGCAACTTAAGCATCTCCCATTGGACGCACATGGAAGGAAAACAAACTGTATTGTGCATTGTAATGACACTGTGATTAGTGATAATATTATGCCTCTTGAAAGACCTAAAATGGTATCCCAACAGAGAGAGACACAGAGTGCACAAACCCGACTGACCTAATGGATGTAGTAAATGAATTTGCTCTTCAAATTGGGACCAGGGGGTTGACTACAGCTCTTTGTCAATGGCACTAATGAACTCTGTCTCCTGGCTCTGCCATGGTCAGAGCTTGGAGCCAAGAAGCCAGGGTCTCCATCAGCTCAGCCAATAATCTACACGTCATTATTTTAGAGCCAACAACTCAGTGGCAAGTATCCTTCCCCTGGTAATTTGCCCATTGCTGTAAGTCTGAGTTCTTCAGGCCTTATAGGATGCTAAGAGTTCCATGGTTCATATCTCCAAAGTCTTTATAATCCATTCAACTGGATTATTTATAGCAGTAGAACCTGTGAAAGCCGGAAACTATGTAAGGCAGAAACGTGTTGGAGAAGGAAAATTCAAATATTTTCCACTAAAATGAGCCACAGAAAGTGGAAAGACTACACTCTGCCAAAGGTGGAAATCTTGTGAGACCCAGAAAAGTAAGGCGGTCCCATCAAATCCCAGCTCTCACAGGTTTCATTGTAATTGGTAGAGTGGTCTCCATTCTCTATCCCCTTTGCCAATGCAGACCTGAGTCTGATAGAACTATCTGGATAGTAGGCTTTCTGCAGCCAAGGACCCACAGGTTGGACTTAAAATGACATTACCTCTAAAATGACCATTCCAGGTCACTTTTCCAATAAGCCAAACCAAACCAGTTGCATCAAGTCAACTGCAACCCATGGTGATCCCATGTGTTTCATAGAGCAGCGCTCCAGAGGTTTTCCAGTGGATGTGAGCTTTTAGAAGTAGATCACCAGATATTCCTACCAAGGTGCTTCGGGGTGAACTCAAATCACCCACCCTTCAGTTAGTAGTAGTAGCAGTGCCTTATCTGTTTGCATCGCCCAGGGACTTACCTTTTCCAACAAGCATTCCTAAAAGCAGATTAGAGTTTGCAGAACTATCCCGGTTTGTCTCGCTATTTAGAGAAAGTGGAATGAAGGAAAGGAGAATGGTCCATCTGAGAGCTTTCTGGAACACCTGCCCCTCCCCACTGATCCTGCCTCTCAGTCAAATCTTGGTTCGGGGTGTGCTCACTCTAACTCCCCCCTAATTAAGCAAAAGCAAGGGCCATTCAATCAGACCAAATTCTAAGCTGGGCAGGATGTTTCCTGACCTCACTCTTTCCTGAGACCAAGGAGGTCCTGAGAAGCTGCTTCTTTCAGAGGCCTGAGACCTGGGTCCCAGACCTGAGGACCAGAGTCTGAGCCCAGGCGGGGCCCCTGGGAGTCCTTGGAACCTCACCTTCAACACATACAGTGGCCGGTTCTCAAACGAATGTCCAATCTTCATCCTGCTCACAAAGTCAGGGAAATCTGCAGCTATGCTGTCCATCTCGTGGTAAATCTGAGGCAGAAAAAGGCAACCCAACAGCATTTTTAAAAATCTCTTCAGCTTACATTAAGATCAATTGGCATAATATAGTCCACAAAGACAATGCTCTACACCCTCCTTTGGTGAGTAGCGACTGGGCTCTTAAAAGCTTGTGAGAGGCCATCTAAGGTACAACTATTGGTCTCTCATAGTCCAGAACAATTAATAATGAAAAAAATCAAAGACACAAGGAAACAATTAACCCAAAGGACTTATGGACCACATGAATCCCTGCCTCCATGAGCCTGAGACCTGAACTTGATGGTGTCCAGCTACCACTGCTGAACTCTCTGGAAGGGATCACAATAGGATGCCTCAGATAGAGGGGGAGAAAAATGTGGAACAAAAATCAAAATTATAAAAATGACCAGACTTACTGGTCTGATAGAAATTGCTGGAACCCCTGACGCTACGGCCATTAGACACCTTCAGGCCTAGAACTGAATTCACCCCAGTGGCTCAATTTTCAGCCAAACAATAGACAGGCTTATAAGGTGAATAACTACACCCAGAAGGTACACACTCATTAGATCAACCATACAGTATCACAAGGGCAGCATTTGCCCAGGGACAAAGCACAGAAGGCAGGAGGGGACAGGAAAGGATGAAGGGAAATGGTAACCACAGGGAGGAAGTGGGAAGAGCGCTGTTACATTGTGGGGATTGCCACCAATGTCACCAAACAAAATGTGTATGAATTGTTGAACAGAAAACCAATCTGCTCTGTAAACATTCACCCAAATCACAATTAAAAAAAAAAAAAAACTGTTCTGCCCTGAGTGGGTGCCTATGAACTTTAGCTTTTTCCTCCAGCCCCCTAGCCTTGGGGTTGACAACATGATCAGCATGAAATGCTTACTCTAGAGAAACTACCTAAAGGATCCTTTATAATTTTCTAAAGAATACCACATTTTATTTGTCCACAAAATTACAGTCCACTGAATGAGAGAGAGTAGAAGGTCTGTAAGAAAGAAGACCCTCGATGAAATGGACTGACACAGCGGCTGCAACGATGGGCTCAAGCCCAGCAAGGACTGTGAGGCTGGTGCAGGAGTGGGCAGGATTTCGTTCTGTTGCACATGGGGTCGCTGTGACACCTGTGTACTACACCTAACAACAACAGAACAACTAGAGAGGTTTACACACATAGTCCTTCAACAGCTGCAGTCCTCTGCGTCATCAAACCAGCAACAGCCTCATGTAGCCAAAGTTCCTGAAAACAATATTCTCCCAACTTCTTGATCGCTAAACAATTTCACATGCACAAGATATACAGTTAGACAGAGAGATGCATGTTGGTGTCGTTGTTAGCTGCCGTCAAGTCGGTTCTGCATCATGGCAACCCCATGTGTGCAAAGGAGAACTACTGCATAGGGTTTTCAGGGCTGGGACCTTTCAGAAGCACATCACCAGCCTTCCAAGGCATCTCTGGGTGGGTTTAAACCACCAACCTTTCAGCTAGTAATCAAGCACTTAACCATTTGTGGCACCAGGGAATCCATGGATATGTACATACACCATACATATCTATTGTACTACATACATGCAATGTATAAGTTGTGTGTGCGTGTGTGTATATATATATATATATATATATATATATACAGGAGCTCTCTGGTAGCGTAGTGGCTAAGGCACTTGACTGCTAACCAGAAGGCTGGCAGTTCAAACCCACCAGCCACTCCTCGGAAGGAAGGTTGGGCAATCTACTTCCGTAGTAATACTGCCTCAGAAACCCAAGGAGGGGTCGCTATGAGTCAGGTCCACCTCGACAGCAAAACAACAACAACAACATATATGTGTGTGTGTATAATGTACAAGAAGTAGAAACAACAGAGTTTGAGCTCATAATAAACATAAATGCATGTAGAAATATAAATAGAAGTTGTAATAGCTTCCCCCTCCATCCCAATAGACCATCCTGCTCACACCCACTGTGGAAATGATTTCTCTCCCAAGCCTTTGTGAAATAAGCTAAGAGCTGTGAACAGTGACTAAGAAAGCTTCCATTTGCCTTCAGCAAAAAAATAAGGTTTGATTGAAATAGAATTCCTCTATCTTAGTTGCTCAAGCCCTTTGAGGGTCAACAGAAGGAAATAAACAAACATAGTTAGTCCCTAAAATTGGAAGTAGCTATACAGAGGAGGGGAGCTCTGGTAGCATAGTGCGTAAGGCACTTGACTGCTAACCAGAAGGCTGGCGATTCAAACCCACCAGCCACTCCTCGGAAGGAAGGTTGGGCAATCCTACTTCCGTAGTGATACTGCCTTGGAAACCGAAGGAGGGGTCGCTATGAGTCGGGGCCGACTCGATGGCAAATAACAACAACAACAACATACAGAGGAGAAAAATGTACAATCAATATAAAATAAAACCAACTGTAAAGAGTTTATCAGACTTGCAGTCAATACGGCATACTGAACAGAAGAAACGCCCCCTCAAATACACAGGCACGCCAGATAAAATACCACGGCAATGTTCCAAATGCACAGTCAAGTTTAAAACACACACAAAAGAGTGGAGCTTATAGGTGCCAGAGGGGAGGGCGGGAGATGACGCCGCAGGACCATCTTTCCTCCGCGGGGGCTGAGAGTTTATAGCAAAGCAGGAATAGGGGTAGAGGATGGTGGACCCACTGTGGGCTAAGGACTAGACTGAGCTCTTTACCCAAAAGGGAGAGCTGGGAATTGGCAGTTTCGGCCATGAAGAGGGCCCAGAAAATTCTACCCAATGACCCTACAAAGTAGAGCAAAAGCAGGATGCCTCTCTGAGCCATGAGAGAGAAGAGGGTCACCCAGGAAAAGTGAAGTCACCATGCTTTGTTCACGTGGGCTTACCTTCACACTGCCAGCATAAGGGGAAACAAGAAACTAACAAAAATAATAACCACCACAATGACCACCCCCAAAAGTGCAGAACCAGAAACCCAATTGCCACAGCAACCACCCCAAAAGGTCTGGAACCAGAAAGCCTGGCAGATACAGGAAATTCCCCAAGAGAACTCAGAAAGCCCAAGTGGCTAGAAGCTGTTTTAAAAAAACCACTGAATGGATGTGGAATCATAGGTGCTACATAGTAATTCCTTTCTGAAATGGCTCCAGCCCTTTGGAAAATAAATGATCAGAGTTGAAGAAAAAAAGAAAGAAAACACTGAATGTGATCAAGCTACGGGCAGATGGGACCCCAACCCACAGCAAAGGCCTCGCATGGAGTGAGAGAAAGCTGTAAAGCAGATTGCCATGGGCACCTAGAGCCAAAGAACCAGAAATGAGCGCCTGATGAGAAAGTAGGGCTCCAGTAGCAGACAGGTGAGGGGATGGGCCTTCCTGGGTCTCTGGTGACATTTGTGACTGGTTAGCTTGGCCAGGGAATGTTCCATGCTAATGAGACATAGGTCATGGGCTTGATCCCTGTGTGGGCCCATGTGCTCTGCTTTTGTCCATGGCCCCAGACTGAACTCCTAACATCATCCAGCTGTTGTGCAGATGTGTGTCATTGGTCACAAGAGAGATCAAGGGGCAGTGCAGTTGGAAGTGTGCACAATAAACAAAACTTCCAACAATCATGGGAAACAAGTGGAAATAGTTGGCCAACCTTTGAAACAACCCATCTAGAAAAAATAAAGTATATGCCTTATGAAAAGCATGCAAGAACACCATCTCTGTATATGAAGAACCTCACGTATTATGGGGTATGAAGGACAATAACAACTTAGAATTGGGATGTGTCCCTGAGCTTGTGGAGAGTCTGCAGGTTAATGGAGAAGACAGTGAGGGACATAAGAGAACTATATATGCGTGACGCAGTTCCAGTCCAACATCAGATTAAATTATTCTTCTCCAAGCTTTTCATTTGAAGTATTGGCTTACCTTGAAAATCAGTCATCTATGTAAAGTGGTTTCTAACTAAACACAGAACCAAAACACATTATGGAACAAATATACGTTACAAGTGCTTGAGATAAATGACTGGAAATATTTGGTTAACCTTGAAAGTAACCTCTTGTCTAGTTGTCTGAAATAAGCAACATTTTATCCTGTGAGAAGGAAAGAGAGGGACTGTGGTGGGTGTATGAAGGCTGAATTACAAGGACCAGAAAGGATTACAATTACTTCATGGTTTTCGTTAAGGGGTTGCTTAACAAAAGAAGGATGCATATTGGAGAAAATGGCCAGTTTGTGTGTCACTACGTTCTTAGGTGCTGGAGGGAGTCAAACTACCCAAGAACTAGAACAGAATGGAAGGGCACACATTTTTTTGCCCCTAAGTGAAGTGATGGCTAAGGTATTTGACTGCTAACCAGAAGGCTGGTGGTTCAAACCCACCAGCCACTTCTCGGAAGAAAGACTGAGCAATCTTAGTGAAATATATAATATATGGAAGAGATCTGATATCCATAGTGAAACCGCCTCGGAAACCCAAAGAGGGATCGCTATAAGTCAGATCCAACTGGAAGGCAGTGAGTTTGGGTTTTTGGTTTTAAGTGAAGTGATACTGTGCTAAAGATTAGTATCTCCTAGAAGTAAGGGGTGGGGCTATACAAACCCAGGAGGCAGATAAACTTGATAATCTGCTCTGAAATACTCACAGCTTCCAGAGAGTGGTAGGCACCATAGTTGAAACTATCACCGCTCCGTTCTTTCCCTTCATTGTGTTGCATTTCCTCATCTTCATCATTTAAAAGGGACTAAAACAGACAAGACAATTTCGTGAGAGGGGCAATGGAGACAGAAGTCCATATTTTTTCTACCATTGCTTGCAGTGTGGGCTGACCAAAATGGCGGCATCCTCAGTACCCAGATCAAGCCACACAGATGTCAAAGTTTACAAGGGGATCAGATCTCTTCCATATATGTATCAAATCTTACTTCTTGGCACCCAACTTACATCACCCCATTTGAAACCCACTTGCTCCCTAGAAGCAACATATGTGTCGTTTGGTTATTCTACACTGTGAATTCTCTAGACACCAGCCCGCATCTGGTATCCAGCACCTCTGAACTCCACTGCTTGGGAAACCATTCAGAAACAAAGAAATTCTTATAACCACTCATACTTTGAAGGTTCCTGGCAGATGTCTGTGACATATGAGGATGATTAATAAGCTCACAGCTGCTCACGCCATCAGGAAACTCCCGAGCCGAATCACCAATTAGTCCATAACCCACCTCGGTGAGGGAGAGTACATAAGCCAGACACTGCCCTGCTGTTCAGATATAGGATGTGAGGCTGGTGTCTGACTTGGAAGGTGATGTTCCCTCTGCTGGGGGTTGTCGCTAACATTCCCCCTTCCTCAAAGGGTACATTTTATGACTGGTCTCCCACATCCTCTTCCTGCTCTGCCCTTGCCCTCTGACTTCAGAGAAGAAGAGGGAAAGGAACTTCATACAGGTGGGCATCTATGACGTACCAGGCACTGCTAGACATTGTACGTACATTTAATCACTTAATCTTCTCAATAATCTTATGAAGTAGGTATCACTATTACCATGTTACTGATGAAGAAACTGAAGCTTGTCCAAAGTCACATAGCTGGTAGTTAGGAAAATCAGGATTTGGATCCAGATCAGTGTGGTTTCATAACCTATGTATGCCCTTTCGACTACATGTTCCTCACACAGGTCACTTACTTTACTTTCAGATACCTCCATT